GCTCCCCGTCCCGTCCCCCCCTGAGCTCCCTCCGCTCCTGCCCCTCTCCCTCGGCAGCCCCCGGGGGAAGCCGTCCTCTTCCCTAGACCTAGCCCGGCTCCTCCAGTTCATCCCAGTCCTCCACCGAGCGAGCCAGCCCTGTCTGCCTCGTCCCGCTTCAGAAAGCGACGGACGGTTCCCTTTTGGACCGGGAGAAACCGGGGGGGGGGGGGTGGGGGGAGAGTCCCTGCCTGGAGGGGGCCGGGGACGAACAGATCCCAACCGTGAACATCTTTAACGTTAGCAAAACAGAGACAGCCCCCCCCCCCTCACAAATAACAGTTTCCTTCTCCTAAAGAAGACGATGCAAAGCAAAGCCCCGTCCACCTGCATCGCAGCTCCTCGTGTGGGCAAGGGGAGCGTCTGGAGCTCGTCCACCTCTTTCTTACTTTTTCCTAAGGAGCTAGATGAGGAAAATCTATCCCGTTTCTGTATCTCTCTTTTTGTTTTTTTTCCAGAAACAGGGAGGGAGACAGAGGCTCGTATTGAAGCCAACCAGCTGCGCTTCCGAGTGGGAAACTCTGGACTGATCCCATGGCTTGCTTTTCGTTTCATTAATACTTCATTATCTCTGAAAATGAACCTTTTGTGAAGCTCGTCTCCTAACTCTCCTTATTCCTCTTTCACGAGGTGGCTGCTGTGCAGAGGAAGAAATGGCATGAAGTAAATGACTCCAGTATAAAGCAATCTGCTTTGCCAAAGTGCCCAGTGAGCAGCACTGTCACTTTAATAATTCCAGGTCAAGGGATTGCTTTCCTCGTTTTCAATCCTCTCTTTTAATACATGGGAGGATCAGAGGGACATTAAAGACCGTAAGGCTGGGTGGCTTGCAGATAATAAAAATGAAAGTGACTGGCCAGTGACTTCTGTTGGGTAAGAGGGTGATATTTGAAGGCTGTTGTCTGGTGAGGAGGAAAAAGGGACCTTTTCAGTCTGCTGTGTAGTCACCTAATACATAGCTAGTGAGATTCATTCAAGAAGTGAAAGAAGTTAAAAGAGTCACTTTGGATTGTTTTTGTCTTCCTCCTTATTTGGATTATTTGGGCATTTTTGTCCTGCAAATAATATGTTTTTGAGCATGTACAGGTGGAGTTTTAAGACAGCTGCCTAGAGATGGACTGTGCCTTAATTGTATTACATAAAATCTTTTAATTTTCAAACTTTGCTGCCAGAAGAGGAGTTATAATAAGGTTTTATATTGCCAAGGAACATTTTGTCTTGTATTTTTATAGATTCAAATATATTTTAAAGAAATTGAAAACATCTCTTAAAAAAAAAATCAAAAAGCTTCTTTTTTTCCCTTTTTTTTTCTTATTTGTGGGAAGTATTGGAAGTCCAGTACAAGAAAACAGCAAGTATTGATAGAAATGAAGATGGAAGCTGCATTTCCTAACTGAACTGTAAAAGTGTTTTGCAATAGATGATAGCCAGTTCCTGACCTCGCAAAGTGTTCCAGCAGTACATCGTTAATACCTATAAATAAGTGCTTGCAGCCAGATTCAGAAGTAGGAAGAAGAATGCCAGTCAAGAAGAAAGGTGGGCTATCAAGCTTCATATCTCATATTGCATCTTCATTTTGTTAGATTGTTCATTTCTAGTACTTACAATTTCAAATTAAAAGTGTTTTAATGGGGGATTGAAATTGTTTTTCTTTTGCGCTGAAAATGGGAGAAAAATCCGTGCACTTACAATAATAATTTTAAAAAGTATTTTTATGCCATGTTTTAAGACTTGTCATGTCAAATTTGGCCTCAAATAGTTATTTTATAAAGATCAGCCATCAGAGATCTTGAACAGACACCAAGAGAAAAGCTTGGCATCTAATTTTGTGAGAAGCCTCTCTTACAAACAGTAATGAATTTTAAAATCATAGGTTTAGTCTATTATCTATTCTTTACATGTTTGGTGGATAAACATCAGCCATCAATAGCAGCATAAATTAAGGAATAAAGTTTCAAGGCTAATTTTAAATAAAAGTTATCAAGAGTTGTGTTTTGAAGGCCATTTGAATGTGGGTTTTTAAAATGCGATTCTAACTAACTTTGATTTCCATGCTTTAATAGAATATAAAAGTACTATCTTTATGACTGTAGTATGGCAGCATTTAAGAAAAGGTGACAGGTCTTACGTTTTGCCCCTTCTCTCCTAAAGTTTGTGATTACAGCAAGTATAGAAGCAGCTTTGGAAAATGTGGTTTCCAGTGTTCAAACAAGAATTGGAGAATATATGAGGGGAAATTCTTTCTCTGAAAACACTTGTAGACCTTAGGTTATTTCTGGTTCCTTGCAGATACAACACCAATTTAAAATTTCAGAATATGCTAATAGAATAAATAGCATGTGAGCCCTTTCTATTCGGCTTATCTCTCCAGATGTCCCTGGATCTGATATATCCCTGGATCTGATGATACCAAAATGTGGGGGAAGGAGCAAAAAGTGAATGTTACACAACAGAAATGGGGATATAGTTGATATGACTATGGATTCTTTTCCTTGTAGGAAATAACCCTTCAGTATTAGTTATGAGTTAACGTTTACTATGTAAATAATGATAAAAACATGCAGATTGCTAGAATTATTTTCATACAAAAAGCAATAAATAGGATTTTGTGATTGTATTTTAGCAGATGACAGTGTAGAAATGAATTTTCAAAACTGAAATATTTTAATTAATCGTATTGTCATTCATGTAATTACTTACAATTATGTGTAGTAAAGATGGGAATGTGTATGGAGGAGTACCAGCCCTTAACAATTCATCCTGCTGTGCTGTAAACGTGTCAGCCTGATGTACTGGTGAGGCTTGCGTACTCTACCTGTTTACAGAAGGAAAGTTAAGACTGTCTTTTCATATTTTAAGTCTTAATCCTGAATTAGGTGATTTACACTGAGGATGTTTCTGTGCTGTTTAGCTGTAATTCAGTTTCAAAATACTTGCTGCTGTGTTTTGGGGGTGAAATCTTATGGGCTCCTTTGTGCAGGAAGTTAGACTGGCAATCATAGCGGTCCCCTCTGTCCTTAAAAATCTGGGGATTTCCTTTTTGTTTCAAGACAGTCTGGGTCAGTCTTAATGTCCATCAAGGCTTTAATTTCTTCTTCTGTTTTATGAGGATATGTATTTTGACAATTTTAAAATATAAACTCAAGAGACCCAAATATCTTCCTTGAAATACTTTAAATTGTCACATCAGTCAGTGCACTGAAGTTGCCAGTGTGATTGTATTTGAGTATTAAAGGGATATTGTTAAAAATGTATTTGAGCATGTAAATTGCAGGATTAAAAATGTTAGCGAATCAGCAACTGTTATTATTTTGAATGACTTAATTTGTCTAGTTCATGCAATAGACTTTAACTTTCTAAATGTAATTAAAAGTATGCTGGCAACTTGAAACATACTACCCATTTAAAAAAAATCTGCTATTGTTACAAGTAATCCCTGCTACTCCTCTGAATATTAGGGAGATTGAGGGGATTTTTCCCTGTTTTTTTTCCCCATTTATTTGCTTTATGCTTTTGACAGCACTTTGTGTCTAACTAGTTTCGTATTTCTGTTCTCCTTTTCTGGTCTTATGTATTTGGGAGTTCATGTCTACTGTCTTTCCCACCCATGCCATCTGTAGAAATCTCTGTGGGATACTCTCTTCTAGGCTGTGCAAAAGCATGTATTTCAATGGCAACATTAAGGACAGGATTATCCCTCTCCCTTTCAGCACTTCTTTATGTGTTGCTATTTTGGATTTGATCAAAATATTCTTCTAAAATCAGTATTGAGACAGAGTAACCTGTAAAAACAAGTTCTAAAATATCCTGATGTTTATCACTGGAAGTTGTTAGCAAACACTGCTTACTTTGGCATTGACTGGTTCTGGGTCTTTGTAAAGAACAGTGAATGCATTTGGAGAATTTGCCTTTGAAAGAGCTCTCACATCCAGTACTGGTCTTCCCATTTCACATAGCTTTGGACATAATTACACTTTACCTTACGGCTTGATATGATGTCTGCCATCTTGCTTTTAAAAGTCTAGGCCTGTTTAGTCAGGAAAACAATGGTTTCCTTACTAGTAAAAACCATGTAACTTAGAGGAAGCACTGATTTCTTATGGATGTGGCAAAAAAGGCTTGCACCTGGTTCTGATTGTGTTTGTGTCAGTATGTGATTGCCCTTGCTTGATGTGCTAGAGTGAAAAGATTTTGTTTTCTCACTTCATTCTGGAGGAAACTAAGGCTGCATATTCCCAACAATATTCACAGAGTTGGCATGCTTGCTGTCAGTCTCGGAAAACAAACAAACAAAAAAAGCAAGGCTGGAAAGGGAGAACGGAGTACCCTGCAGGCATTGAATGTGCTCCATTTAGATAAGGGGCGAGACACTGTATGGATTATTGCACTGCTGCTGCATGTTTGAGCAAATGGCTATTCTCTTTGGCTTTTGGTTGCTCATCTTTCACTTAAGTACGCTTAAAATTTTAAATCAAACCAGACATTTGATTTCAGTTACAAAATTGTTTGTTGGACAGTGCCATTTAGAGACAATACGGGATGAACAAATTTGAGAAGCAAATAAATTCATTATTTTCACTTAATTTTTACTTTACTTTCACAAACAAACTAGGATATGTTTGAATACAACTATTCATAACAAATTTATGGAACTTCTTGAGGAAAGCTTCTCTTCAAAGTAAAATAATACTACCATACAGAAGAAGTGAAGTCCAGTTACTAAGTGAAGTCAGGTTTTTGTGTGTTTTTAAATGTCTTCCTCCCTCCCTGAGTTGCTTAGCGGAGTTGATTTCTGTTAATTGTAAGGGACTATATTTAGATCTGTAATTGCATATATTTTGGATTCATCTACGGAATAGTTAAGAGCAGAAGATGTTACTGTAATTCATTCATGTCTTTCACAGTGACGGAAAGAACTAATTAAATCCATGTTCCTCTGTGATGGAGACCAGATTCCAGTTTTGGAGCCCGGCTTGTGATTCACATGGAGGTGGCAGGAACCCCCACATCTAGATGCCTGGCTGCACATGTGCTTCTAGACTAATGCTGTCACTGTCTTTGCACATGTAGCTATGTCTAGGCGGTAGGAGATACTTGAATGTTGGGATTTACACTGCCCTCATCCCACTGTCCATCCCTGAGAGTGAGAGGAATGATATCTTTAGCCAGGTGAAACCTCTGGGCTGCTATTACTATATTGACTCACTCCACCTTGTAGCCAGTTTATAAAGGCATGCTGATTCTCTTTGTTGTGAAATAACTTTTTTCATCATACCTCTTATATAAAGAAATGTTTTCAAGGACATGTTTTATTAAGCACATCAATGTCAATTAAGAAGTCTTAGTCTGATCCAATGTGGACTACTTTTGTGCCATTTAGAAGAATCTGACAGATATGCTTTATGAAATGCTAGATTTTGTAGTGGTAATGCTAACTTTATGTGGCTGGTCTGTTGAAAAGAGGGGGTCTAAACAACTTGACAGGAACTTTTAGAGCAAAGTTCATAAAGGACCAGACAAAGCTAGCTCCCATTAATGCATTGGAATTCTGCATGCCCCAAATCTCTTTAAAACTGGCAACTTCTTTTTGGGTAACAAAATTTAAATTTAGGATCATAACTTTTTATGCTCAAAAATCTTAGTGAATGTAGTTGTAGGCTCTGTACAGTTTACAGCAGGAAATCCAGCACGTATTAGAGATTTTTGTTTCCCTTTTACTTCTAATAAGTCATTGGTATTACAGGCTTTTTGTCCTTTCAATTGCTGGATGAGTATTCTCAAATAAGTACATGGCTAAAAGGCCACATTTTTCACTCCAAGTTCTGTTTAACTACCTCTCAGTTTTTAGAGTGAATAGAATGGGAGCAGTGCAAAGTTGTAGGTTATGTTTACAGACTGGAAAGAACAATTTTAGTTTTCTAAGAGTTAAACAAACAAGTGCAGAAAATTGCTATCTAAACTTCGCTAACTTTTACCATAAAGCTTTGATTTGAAGATGTAGCTGATTTTATGGCAGTAATCTTTTTCCAGCCATTGTTTCCTCTGTGAGAAACAGTGAGATATTTTGCACACAAAAGGACTATAGGAGCAGGCATTATAAGAACAAGTCTTTATTATATAAATGTAGCCTGAAAATCTAAGTGGGCTCTGGACTGGAAACAGTGAAATTTATATTCTTTTTCCAGTTCTACCATTGTTCTGCTATTTGTCAGATGTTTAACATGGATCCATCCCATTTTAGTTGCCTCACTTATGTAGGGTGCCCAGCTTGTTGTCCTGGAGGGCTGCTTTGGTCAGCAGAGAGAGATCCACCTTTAAAGGGCTTTTTAACCCACTGAAGATCTGAATTGTCTTCTTGACAATTGTCATCTCTTGCCCCATAGACCGTAGAGGGAACGTAGGGTAACTACACTAACTCACTTGTCTCAGTTAGATGATGTCTCAGTCTCTCATATAAATTTTAGTGGAAAAACCATCTCCTTATCAGAGATATTTATGAGAGCTGACGTTGTGTGTTCTATGAGTGCCATAAATTA